ACCCGAGTAATTATTTGAATCGCTCACAGATGATGAACTCGTACACATCATTCCAAATGTTTCGAAGACATTCTGGGTAAAATGTTTTTGGGGGTGAGGGGGGGGGGCAAACATAACAGTTTTCGTACAACAAGAAATTAACACGTTGTTACGCTAGACGAAGAGAAGAAAGGGCTCCGGCCATTTGTGTGCTATTATGCAGTCTCAGCTAGGGGGGAGGGGGGGCAGGGGTAAATTTTTACCCTAGGCTTAGAAGGGTAGGAGCTGCTGAGTGGGTGCGATGACTACCTCGTGGGAAAAGCTGAAACTCGTCATCTCCGGCGCTCCTTACCTATTAAGAGTTAGTTAAAACGCGAAACACTGTTGAGTTCCGACATTCCTGAAGTTCGAGAAATCCCTAGGAAGTAGAAGCAGGATCCACACTATGCCCCAACAACTGTCTCCAGATACCCTCCTAAACGTGTACTTCAGCAGCATTCTTCGTGATTCATTCGCTCCTTCGGGATCACGTGCTCTCGAAATCGTACTTTGTTCACACAGTAATACTGCTCATTTACTGCACATGCAGTTGTTTTTACTATATCGTATTCACGTGGCAGGTACTGTTACGGATACCGTCGTGAAATTCGCAGCCCTGTTATAATTGTCTATTATTCCCATTAAAACTTATTTTTTGTAGTTTTCACATGGAATTCACTCAATAGAAGAAGAAGCTGTCAAATTCTCGATAAATCTGTACATTTTCTTGATGATTTTAATTTTTGTTTATATTTACGGTGAGTATTCATGACTTCGCCACTGTGCTCGTTTTTCTTGGTTACTTGCACCAACTGAAAAACAGAGTCGAGATGATGAAGAACCAAGAGGCGCACTACCAAACGCATGACTCGAGATCGAATCCGACCGATATTCGCTTTAATAAACAAGACGTTACATTTGTCTCGGGTCGCTGTATTGTAATAAGTCTTGTCTAAGTGGTTAAAATCATTGTGTCAGGTGTTTACGTTGCACTTAAATGAGAGCATTTCGGAAAGTGCCACATAGGATATAGATAAAGGGGACCTGCTGGGGAGGGGGGATCGTGGGATTTCAGGTCCTTCGATGCTGAACAATCCCTTTTCTGGATGGCCCCGCATTCGCCTTCCACTCACCACTCAGTATCCGAGTGACATTTTGAACGCGTATGTGAATTATATAATGTTTTGTCAGCCGATGAATAAGTCAGTGCTTTTATCATGCGTATCAGGTACAAATCAATTGACTTCGGAGGGATAAAGGCCTCGTTGGCCTGGACGAGTATCAACCTCTTCGAAGTAGGACGTGTGTGAGAATGCGCCACTTGCCACAACACAACCTTCGACTAAATATAAATAATTGAAAATCAGTGAACATTGTAGTTTAGATCGTTTGTTGCTCCGATTGTACTTCAGAGGATGTATCTATTTACCTTCATCCCTATGTTCATAGCTTATAACTACACGAACTGAAAACTTGTATTCCATCGTAATCACAATCCTTGTACTCTTCAGGGACGCATGAGTTGGAAATCGATATGGTATCACTGCTGGGCGAACATGACGGCTTCTGGTCCTGGTTTAGTGTCGCAAAAACCATACCGGCATACAATTACTGCTTTTTTGTCATTCTGGTAAGACATCATTCTTTCTAGGTACCATCTAGGACTTAAAAAAGACTGCTAAAAGGCACAACTCACAATAATTTTAGGGTATTGTGTTCTATATGATTTCTGGAACTGAGAGTTCAAAATAGTGCAAAAAAAAACGCGAAATCGATGTAATTGGAGAAATATAAAGCTTCGAAAAAGTAGTAAAAAATCAAGGGTTGAGCGAAATGACAAGGGCGGGCCCGCACGAAAGGGGTACTTGATTAAGCTGCCCAATTATGTGTGAAATTGCTTACAACAGGCTACAGTAAACTGCCTGCGTGCAAAGTGTGCGTCCCGGTGCGAATGGTATGAACTTTAGAAATTCCTCAAGAGAACTACAACCACAACTCTAGAACTTCCGTGAGAACTCAAACCCCTTGGGTGTATACAGCTGCTAAACAGATTTTGGAGCCTTCATTACGTCCTACGGTTAAATATATCCTACGGTCCTATACGTCCTACGGTCCTCTCTACGGTTAAATACTTTTCATTCGTGCATACTCGTAACGAAAATTGGAAGGTTTGGCTGTATTTAAGTTCGCGTCCTCGCCTCCACGATTTGGACTACGTTTACCATTTCACATTCCTCATATCATTTTAACCCAGTTATAGATACTTCAAGTAATTGACTGTCATGCGATGTCCACATGGATGCAATTCCCCTGGTGGCTTGAAAAGGTCAGCTTGTTTTCCAATTTCACATAATATTCAGCGTTAATTGACTTGATTGACGACTGGTTAACTTCTTGTTCCAATACAATCCTGCTTGACAAAAGCTGGTCTGTTGGTTTGTCGGTGTGTATATGTGTGTGTGTGTATGTGTGTATATGTGTGTGCATGTGTTTGTGTTGTGTGTGTATGTGTGTCCGGGAATTCATTACTCCTGTTGCCGTTTTCCTAGAGCGTTCAAATTCTGTAGGAGTACAGGAGGCAGAATGGGTTACTGATGGTAGATGGATTGGATTCCACCCACAGGTGCGGGGCGAAAACATCGATTTGCTCCGGGCGTGTCAAATCCGATAGGGGTACAGGGGTATCCACGGGAATGCTGACTGTGGGGGGGGGGGGNGGGGGGGGGGGGGGGGGGGGGCGCGACTAGGCCACGCCTACAAGGGGCGGAACGTCCGCAAAAATTGTGAGCTGGACCTAGTGCGTTCAGTTCGGTAAGAGCACAGGTGGCAGGACGAAGACGGCGATAGTAGTGCCATAGAGTGACTAAACTGGATTACGATCGCGAAGGCGTAAGAGAAAGATGAGAAGAAGCGTACGTGAAATGAGCCTAGTCTGAGTAAGCTTGCATAGTCAAGCTAAAGGAGGAGGGGAACGCACCAAGTTACTTGAATACACATAAGTTAAACAGGGCTCTCTCGGATGTGCGTTTAGCGGGAAGGTTATATCTTCTGTTTTCGTGTATCAGACCATCAACGTTTGGAAGTGACGTAGACGGCATGCCAACTTCGCGCGAAAAGAAGAGAGCCCGGCGTTAGATGAGCGATCCCACTATTCGAAGTAATAATACCAGTTTGAACATAAATTTTCTGAATTATTATTGCAGAATTCAGTGGAGAAGTCGGCGTATGGCTACGGTAATTTGTTGGCAAGCACCATCATTTTCATGCCTTCAGTTATACCCCTTATCTATTTGGTTCGGAAGGCAGTGAAATTGAAAAAAGATGAGGTATTACTGTAATTGCTGTAACTGTGCCATACCTTCATTCTGGGGAACACTGACAATCCATGGTCATTCAGAAATTCTCAAAGCTTTTTGAGATCGCACGAGAGCATCCAGCATTCCTTCGCATCAGCGCGGAAAGCTTTTTGGGCCAGGGTAAGCTAACGTTTTACCTGCTGATCTCATTTCTGTTCTAGAATCTCACCTCGAGTTGCAGGAGGAACAGCGCAGTTATACCAGATGAATGGGAAAAGAAGTTTATTATTATGATCGTTAAAAAAATAGAAGAACTAAACCGATACTTCGTTGAAAATGACAACAAAACAATGCTCACCCTTATAATTAAAGGTTATGCCAGGAGTGTTTGTGTGTATTTCTTGCAATTACTGTGGCTCTCTATGTTGTTTTCCTTATATACTCATTCTGTTCGCCTGAGCTTGCCTAGTATATGACCAATGCCCTCAGGATTTGGACGTGTTGTCAGTTAGTAATGGGACTTATTAAATGGCACGGCGCCCACTGCCACTCAAATGATGTGAATGGAGTTCGTACTTGAACGGAGATTCCGTGAGCTACTGATGTTTACGCAACAAGAAAAATTCTACCATATATAAATCGCTCTACGGATCTTCTTAACTGAGTTCTCTCTCACTGAAGGATCCCCAGCCGGTTAGTGACGAGGCTACGTAGGGCGCCCCCAGGTGGCGGATAGAGGAATTAATCGCCGACCAAACGTCACCGATACTTGCCCAGAGACGCAGGTGGATATAGGGGACGGACTCCTTGATTCTGATGTGCTGGGTCGATATACCCTCTGTTTCTTGCAGGCGTATCCACGCATATGTGTGTGGACAGTCTGTGGGTGCAGTTGGTATCGTGCCCAACGACTCGGCTAAAAGCTTGCATTCGAGTGACTGGGAAGTATCTGGGAGACGATTCGGGGCCCTCTCCAAAAACAAAGCCCCTCGTCCAACCCTCCACGTCAGAGCCTGGCAAGCTACACGATGGGAATTCGCACGCCAAAAACAGTAATAAAAATGGGCTCCTTTCCCCTAAACCTGAGGGAGCCCCCAATACGGCAGCGTTGGGTAGGACCGCTCGGGAGAGGCTGCTAGAATCTCAGGGCCAAAACAGGCTGCCCAAAAGGAGAAGGACTAAGATGGCGCGCTAGGAAGATCAAGTCCGACGTCATCGGACTGACCGAGACGAGAAGGCATCGCCCGCTGCACGCTGTATTTGAGAATGGAGAAGACCTGCTCCTTGGAAAATGCGACAGCAGAGGCGTCGGCGGCGT